TCAAACCAAAACTACACAACGCACCCCAAGCCCCAAACAAATTAATTCTGGTTTGATAACGATTCTTAAATAAATCTAATAATATAGAGAAAATTAATGTATTAGTGTACTGTGCAATCATCCCCCCAAAAAACTGCAAAATTAAAAGCCAAAATACAAACAATAAGCAACTGAATATAAGAAATAAATACGGTAGTTTGGACATTTTGTTTTAGCCGATTTTATGTATCATATTGAATTTTAGGTGTAAAGGAATGGAAGTAATATGACAGGTCTACAATAACCAGAAAGTTCAAAGACTGCAACAACTTATAGCACTCTTGTTCATTTAGAAACAATCCACAATGGCACTTACTGTCTTCCTACTATGGGCATCAGGAAGTACTAAAAGTGTCCTGAGCACTTAGGAGAAACTCAAGAGACTGCACAGAACCCACTAGATGGCACCATCACAGGCAATCACTCTGCTCCCTCTGGAGCAGCAAGGGCGGAAACCTTTCTTGATCTTAACAAACTGAAAGCTATGAACAGTGATATCCTCACTGGGAAAGCGAGACCTACAAGTCGTGCAAAACCAGGAAAAGGAGTCTCACCAAAAGCATCCTTTTTATCCAGTACCACTGCCCTCATTTCAATCAATGACCTAAGAGATGTAATGCCTAGTCCTAACCCCACAGGAAGAGAAGCAGTAAAACAAAGTGGTGTCTTTGTTGGATATGGGACCTCCTGTTATAATCCCAGCACTTGTAGGCAGCAGGGGCAAGAGGATCCGGAGTTCAAAGTCATCCTCAACTACACAGTGAGTTTGAGGCCATCCTCAACTACGTGAGACTCTCTCAAAAAATGATCTAGTTTAAAAAAAAAAAGGGGGGGGGGGCTGGAGAGATGGCTCAGCAGTTAAGAGCACTGAGTATTCTTCCAAAGGTCTCTGGTTCTATTCCCAGCACCCACATGGCAGCTAACAACTGTCTGTAATTCCAAGATCTGAAACCTTCCTACAGACATACATACAGACAAAATACCAATGCAAATTAAATAAAAATAAATATTAAAAAAGAGTATCTCTTCCTCTTCCTTTCTCAACTTACTTTTCTTTCAAGTCTCTTTGCTACAAAAATCAATTTTTTTCTGCTGATCACTAAATAATGTGTTTATTGAAATAAATATACTTACCATGCAGACATGTCAAAATATACAATTAATGGCATAAAAGAAACTGAGTATTGATGAACTTCCTAACAAACAGATAATATTTTTGTTTGTTTTTTTCAAGACAGGTTTCTCTGTGTAGCCTTGGCTGCCCTGGATTTTACTTGTGATCTTACTACCTCAGCTTCCCAAGTGTACATTAAAGTTTTCCCACCAACTTGTTTACATGATTGGGGGGGGGTGTCTTTTCAAGACAGGGTTTCTCTGTAGCTTTGGACACTATCCTGGAATTTGCTCTGTAGACCAGGCTGGCCTGGAACTCACAGAGATCCACCAGCCTCTGCCTCCCGAGTGCTGGGATTAAAGGTGTGCACCACCAATACCCGGCTTCTTTACATGATTTTAAATTGAGTCTGGGCAGTAAAATTAAGATGTGATTCATGTCTTCACTAGGACCCATTTCACCATAGGTACACTTGGATATAACCATGATGAAGCTACATGCAGAAGGAAAGAAGCCATCTCAATAAAGATTAGTAAAATCAACTATACAAACTTTCTTAGTAGGAAACCACGTGAATACATTTAATTTTGAGCATTAGCTGGACACACCTATAATCCCAGCACCTGAGAGAGACAAGAGGACCATGAGTTTGAGACTAGCCCAAACTAATGAGTTCCAGGCCAGTCTAGGTTGTACAATAATACCCTATCTCCAAAAAATAAAAATAGATTAATTTAAATGACATGAGACTTATGCATAATTGTCAAGTTCAAAGGCATAACAGTGAGGGCCTAGAGAGATGACTCAGTGGTTAAGAGCACTGGCTGCTTTTCCAGAGGACCCCAGTTCAATACTCAACACCCACATGGCAGCTCACAACTGACTGTAATTTCAGTTACAGGGGATCTGACACCCTCACCCAGACATACATGTAGGTAAGACACCAATGAACATTAAATAAATAGATTCATAAAAAGTAAATGAGGCTCAACAGTGTAATCCCAGACACTCAAGAAGCTAAGGCAGATCACTGGTTCAAGCCTGAGCTTCAGAGCAAGTTAAAAAGAGCTGGCTGGGTGTGGTGACAAATACCTTTAATCCCAGCACCAGAGAATCAGGACTACAAAATGAGACCATCTCAAACAACAGCAGCAAACCCCAAAGGACTAGAAGTACAATGGTAAGGTGCTGGCCTAGCATATACAAGGGCCTGGGTTTGATCCTTTATACTACAAAAATCAATCAATCAATAATTATAAACAAGACCTAGTATGGTCACTCTTGCCTATAGTTCCAGCACCTAAAAAACTAAGATAGGAAGATAACAAGAGTTCTAGGCCAGGCAAAATAAATGTGTCATCATTGGCCCAGATATCAACTTAATATTCAAATAACACTGTGTACTTCTTTCTGAAGCTACTTCCCTTTGAACAAATAATTTATGTCTCCATGTTTATCTTCAGTATGTAATGATCAGAGGCTGATCCACTCCAAAGTACCACCAAAAGTTAGTTACTAGAGTAGCTGAAGAAACAAAGCATTCATGCAGATAATTATAGCCAGGTATAGTGGTACATGCCTGTATTCCCAGGATTTACCAGCCTGGGGTTGGTGATCACATCCCTGGGCTTGACTTGGGATGATCACAAATCACAGGCCAACCTAGGCTACCCATTTCAAAAACAAAACAAAAATTAAAAGAACTACTAGAGCTGGAAGTGTAGCTCACCCCTGTAATCCCAGTGCTTGGGAGATGGAAGTAAGAAGAGCAAGGAGTTCAAGGCTAGCCTGGGTTACATACCAAGTTTCAGGCCAGGCTAGGCTACATGAACCTTATCTCAAAAACCAAAAACTAGTAGGTAATAAATCCTGTGTTCCTTGTCAGAGCTCTACTATTCTGTCATCTGGCAGGATGCATTCTGGCAGTACCCTCCCTGGCCAGCCCAGCCCAGGGTCCTATGGCTGCTGTATCACTACGCAGGCTATGCAGTCTGCACGTGGGTGCAAAGGTTTAAGAGGCAAACTCCACCCTCTCTCTCTCTCTCTCTCTCTCTCTCTCTCTCTCTCTCTCTCTGTCTCTCTCTCTCTCTCTCTCTCTTCACCATCTCTCCAGGAGCAGACAGATCTGTCCTCCATCTCTCCCTTCCTCTTGTCTGTCTGTCTCTCACCGGCCGTCTAACCCTTACCTGCCGAGGGACCCGCTGAAGCCCCACCTCATGCTGTATTATAATACTCTCTGCAGTATTTCTTATTTCTCCTTCTTCCTCTGCAGGGTTAAAGGCACTATACCGAGGTATCATCCACAGCACTTATACAATGCCCAGTATACTGTAGGTATTTTGTACTTTTCAAAAAAATAAAAACTATCAAGCTATCACAACTCAATACAATTGTATGATCCATCAAAGCTAGATTTCCCAAGCATAAGCCTAACATAAACAACTGGCCAGAGCATGAAATTAACACCAAGTTACTATAAGATACAGCATTTCTTTTAAAAGACAGAAATCTATTATGTAGACCATAGTTTAAAATGCACATATCACTTTTCTCAAGCTCCAGTAATATGACAACCTTGGATGGAGCAAAGTTTTTAAATAAAGCATTATAAACAGACATATACCATATACTAAAGCATCCTGTGAGAACAAAGGGGTAAATAAGCAGGTACACATAAAGACACACAGAAAGCCAGAAGTGTGAGCAACATCCCACCTGCCCAATGATGGGGGCCTGATCTCAGTTTACACTTCCACAAGACAAAAACAGTGAGGAGCCGGGCGTTGGTGGCTCACGCCTTTAATCCCAGCACTCGGGAGGCAGAGGCAGGCAGATCTCTGTGAGTTCGAGGCCAGCCTGGTCTCCAGAGTGAATGCCAGGATAGGCTCCAAAGCTACACAAAGAAACCCTGTCTTGAAAAAACAAAAACAAAAACAAAAACTGTTTTTGGGCTGGAGAGATGGCTCAGAGGTTAAGAGCACTGGCTGCTCTTCCAGAGGACCCGAGTTCAATTCCCAGCAACCACATGGTGGCACACAACCATCTGTAATGAGATCTGGTGTCCCCTTCTGGTGTGCAAGCATGCATGCAGATAACTGTATACATAATAAATAAATAAAATCTTAAAAAAAAAAAAACAGTGAAGAGCTAGGTAGACAGTGCAGCAGGTAGAGCACTGGGATCTTCCAGAAGGCCAGGTTCAGGTCCGAGTACCCACATGGCAGTTCACACCCATCTAAACCCAATATTTCAGCACACGTGATGCCCTCTTCTGGCCTCTGCAAGCACCAAACATGCACACTGGGTACATACATACATACATGTAGGCAAACACTCATATACATAAAACAAAAAATAAAAGTGTGAAAAGGCAGACTAAGGATACAACCAGGAGGAATCTACTAGTTGCACATTTGGAGAACTGACAGACTTCACCAGATCCAACAACACTGTATCATGTAACCAACCCAACAGACCCAGTGTATGAAGATCCAACAGCACTGTATCATGTAACTACCCCAACAGACCCAGTATGTGAAAGCTTTACAATGCCTCTTGCTTTCTGAGTGCCTGAAAAGTTTTAACAAAATACAAAATAGAATCTAGATCCACATCCTTGCAACAAACCCCTCAGGAAACCTCTGCGTTACTCAAATGGGAAAGAAACATACTCTCCCAAACTAACACTTAAATGTTCCACAGGAATGACAGGATTTCAAAGTTCACTAGTCCACAAGACAATTTCCCCTGCAACCAACAGCAAGCCCTATCACCCAAGCCCTTCTATTCAGTTCCTAAATGTGTTTAAGTTATACTTTGAAATGTCCATGTTCGCCAAGTTACTCACCTTACTAACACCAACTCCAGTGAACCTGGCCTCCAATAATTCCTGCCTTCGTGGGTCCAGGCTATGCAATTCTTCCATCATTTCTACAGGAAGGAAAAGGGCCAAGAAGCCATGAAAAACTAAATGGGAGAAAGAGTTTTATGTATAAGAAATCGCACAGGAGCCGGGCAGTGGTGACACACCTTTAATCCCAGCACTTGGGAGGCAGAGGCAGTCGGATCTCTGTGAGTTTGAGGCCAGCCTGGTCTACAGAGCAAGTTCCAGGACAGGTTCCAAAGCTACAGAGAAAAACCAAAGAAAAAAAGAAGGAAGGAAGAAAGGAAGGAAGGAAGGAAGGAAAGAGAAAATGCACAGGAATTTTGTAAACCAAAAAAAAAACCATACACTCCAGTGTTACACTCTGACCAAAGTTATTTGATATTCTCAATAGTTATTTCAGGTTATACAGCAGCTCAGGCTCTCTTCTACGAGACAGCCTTTCCTTTTTCCTGAATTCTAATTTGATCTTTTACTCGGGAAGAGGGACAGGAATGGAAGCCTACCCTTGTAATCCCACCTTATAAGCAGCAGGTATCCACAAATTTGAAGGCAGCCTGGTTGGCCAGGGATGCACAATGTGACCCTGTCTCATAAAAACTTTTATTTATAAAAATAAAAAGAAACAGCAAACTCTCCACATTCTCTGTAAAAAGTAAGCAGAGAAGGAAAACAGGGGCAAACTTGCAAACAGAAAACTCCTATCAACGTTTCCATCTAAGTACTTCCAAATATTCCTTTCCCAAACACCTAAGAACTAGTTCTTAAGCTAAAAATAGGATTCGTTAATAATTTCAAATGAATATAGAATGAATCAGAAGCTGCAAATAACTTCAAGAAACCCCACTGTATAGCTCCTTTCTCCCAATAGCTCACATTAGCTAATGAAAATTGCAATTCTTTCATGTTAAATGTAAGATAAACTGTCAACCTGCATTCACTCTGGAAATTAATATAACGCTGCAACAATTCCTTCACAAAATCATTTTCTGACCACTCCTTGAAGCAGTAGGTTTCTCTCCACTCTAGATATCTGCTTTTAGCACTCCTCCCAGGCAGGGAGGGGCAGGAGGACACCATTTTTAAACTCCTTCCCCGACCAATTAATGCAGACACTATGAGCAAGTATGTCCAACCTTTGGAAGAGCAAACTCTTACACCATGCATTGAAAAGCTCTTCAATGTTAAAAGCTGGGAAGGAGCAGACATCATTACATAGAAACCCTCGAACATACTACTGAGTAGTTACTAGAGCGACTGGCAAAATTTTTAAAGTTCACTGAAAACCTTCTCTGCAATCGAACAACTCCACAATTTCCAGTAACATCCCCTCCACAAGTCCTAACTTTCATTTCCCTTCCTGGATGGAGAGCCTGGGGCAAAGGGTGACAAATTAAAGTTTCACTCGCATTAGGAAATTGGTAGAAGGGCAGAAGGGCATCTTTAAAATAAAAGAGGCTGAAAATAAAACTGAGTTTTCCCTAAGTGGGTAAGTGGCCTTGCTCGCCACTCGCCACTCGCCCTGCCCTAATCGAGGTCGGAATGGCAGAGGTTGCAGGCTCTCCCCAGTCCCAAGGTCTCTGGAAACGTTTCCCAAGCCTCCATCCCCAGGCCTGGTCCGGAAAATGAGGCCCCGGCAGTTATGCCATTTAATGTCAACTCACGTTAAGAAAATATCCATCCCATCTCTTTCCAGCGAGCCTTTGGACCGGGATCCTCCCAGAAGCCCCAAACCGGGAAGCAGGACCCACCGGGGCCTGGTCGCGGCGCCCCTCGCCGGCTCCAAACTTTCCCTAACTCTAGGCCCACCTGTCACGGAGGGCGCGAGGGGCAGAGTCGGGGGCGCCGGGGAGGCC